ACTATATTGCAAATGGTCTTTTGTACTTCGTTTAATTAATGAAACATTTCCTTGATTATACCACTATTTGTCAATATTCCTCTATGTTGATTCATGATTGATTAAACTTACTTATTGTGAATATCTCTATGTTGATTGATAACTACACTTAACTTGTGATACTAATGCTTTATTTTTCTATGAGTTTTTCTTCCCTTTGTTCTTATACTCTATTTTCTGTTCTTTTTTTATATAATAAAAAGGAGGAGAAATATAATAAGTAAATTTGCACTTAAATTTTCATTCATGATGGCTGGATTTTTCAAAAGTGCTTTCAAGCTTAATTGTAAATCTTTTTGAAAAAGCATAAATTCAGGAGGAGCTTGACTTGAGAAAAACATTTTGAGATCTTGAGTATACTTTTAGGGGAAGTTTTCTTTAATGAGCAATTTTTTTTTATAATTGAGAAAAAGAAGATTCGAACCTTATTCTTTAGGTAGAGGAATAATGTATCAACCAATAAGCTAAATATTCGAATGCTCTTTAATGAGCAAATTTAACTCTTAATTTTGTCATATCGAAAAGGAAAAAATTGTAAGCTTTTTTCTTATTTTGACATGACAAAATTGATTGAACTTAATAAACTTTGAAAATGAATGAAAGATATTTTTTAGTATGAAAAAAATCCTAAAGGGAGTGTTAAAGTTGAACTAAAAAGAAAGATATATTGAAATAATTTGATTGTTTGATCATGTTCTTGAGCTTAAAGAAAAAATTCTTAATTTTCTCAAAGATATTTTGTTTTCAAAATTCAAAGTGTCAGCCTAAGAATCAAGTTCTCAAAAGAAATGACTTGATTATCAAATAACAAGAAAGCAAAATCTATTTCTTTGATTGCAAGAAGAATCGATTATAGAGAAGAAAAAGTTAGTTTTCAAACAAAGATCAATAGTAAAGAATTGATTCTAAAAAAAGAATAAGTCAGTTCTCAGAAAACAGAAACTTCAAAATTTGTGAAGAACCAACACCACAGACGCAAAGAATTTATTTTGGAGAGACAAAATATAGAAGTAGAAAAACAAAGAAAAAAGAATAGATTCTACATGGAGAAGATGTCGAATCTTGAAGCATGTAAAGTTCATATCAGAAACTTAGCGACCAAGAAAGAAGTAGCACAATTGGATAAAAGTGGAGTGGCAAAAGTTAGGCTTGAATTCAAATTTTGACTCCAAAGCATAGTAAAAAATCGACATCTTGAGGTAAAAGAATTGATTCTCCAAGATTGCAAAGATGTCACTTTTAAACTCAGTTGTAGAAGAACTGAAACCTTAAGATAAGAATCAATTCTTTAAAGACACAAAGCCGTAGACTTTGCAAAGAATTGACAACTCAACAACAAAGAATTGATTTTATAGATGCGATAGAATTTTGCAAACCGGTTAAAACATACAAAAAATTATTCAAATCTCATTCCAACAAGTAGAAAATCTTAGAGACTATAAATATCTATTTTGAGAACATTAAAGTGAAAAGAGAAAAGGATTTTAAAAGAATTTGAATCATCTTTGAAGAAGAAAAGAGTGGAAAAATAAGAGAAACAACTATGAGCAAAACGTTCCCATCTTTGAACAAACAATAAGCTTAAAGATCATATGTTTATTTTTCAATTGATCCTTTTTGAGCTTAGACCTTCCTTGATCATCTATATTTTTGTAAAAGCTTTCACTTTTCTAATCTTAAACTTATTTATTAACCTTTTTAGAGGTTTTAGTTGATAATTCACTAGAATACATTGTTGTATTGGTTATACCTCTAAGCAAAAGGTAGACAAGTTTTTCTTGATCTTTTAAAAGGCTTTATCTTTTGTAATGGTTGTGCTTTAACTTGGAAAAAGTAGTGTCTTGGTAAAGGTTACACCTGGTCTTGCAAAAGGCATGTTGCAGAGATAATACCTGATCCTACATAAGGCATGCTGCAAAGGTTCGGCTGTTCCTATTGAAAAGGCAAGTTGATAGTAAATTCAAACTCCTTGTGCTATCAAGAGAGAAGACATAGGCATTAGAAGTTCGAACTTCTATAAAAATCCTCTGAGTACTTTTTATTTTTTTTCTCTTTATTCATTCAGCTTATACTTTATTTTGCTATTTAATTCTTTCACATTCTAACTGACTTTTAAAAATGAGGAAATTTTTATTTAACAACCAATTCACCCCTTCTTGGTAGTTTTACTTTAAGCTTTATCTTTCTAACAATGTTTGTCACTACTCATTTTATTAATGATTCTTAGGTGTTGCCATGCCGTATCTTGAGATAAATAATATTTTTTCAATTATATAATATGTGGTACAAAATTCATTAATGTTTTTATGAGCATACTTTTAATAAATATTTATTTTTTAAATATGTAGATTTATTTATGTGCTTACACCTCACACCATGGATGTTTGTATACAATAGTTGTTAACTGCCTTGACTTAGTGGAATATATAAAGAGTAACATCTCTACTATAATAGTGGATAATTGCAGCTTTAATGATGGTATGATTTCTATCATAGTTAATAAGTTATGTTCTAAGCTTTTACTTGATAGGAAAATTCTTCACATGAGATGTTATGCATATATTTTGAATTTGATTATGAAAGATGGATTATCAATGATAGATGAGGTCATTAAAAATATTTGTAGTAGTGTAATTTTTTGGACAATTAGTTCCTCTAAAGTGACAAAGTTTGAAGAAGTAATATGTTAAGTGTCATATTCTAAAAAGTTAAGCCTTGATTATAAAACTAGGTAGAATTCGACATACTTAATGCTTTACATTGCTTTATAGTACAAAGATTTTTTTCCTAGGTTGAAACTTAGAGATAAATATTATGTTTCTATGACTAGTGAGGAAGAATGGGTAAAGGTAAAAAATATTGTTGAAAAGTTGAGATTGTTTTATAATGCCACTAAATTATTTTCTAAGACAAGTATCCTATAGCGAATTGTTATTTTGTTCAAGTATGTGAACTTCTAAGTTATATAGTAAATTGGATGTACTCTGTTGATATCACAATTAGTACAATAACAAAAAAAAAATGTTTGACAGGTTTGATAAGTATTGGAAAGACATTCATAATGTGCTAGTTGTTGTGGTTATATTGGATCTTATTTGTAAAATGAAAGCAATGGAGTTTTATTTTCCTGAAGTATATGGTCATGATGCAACTTACGAGATTGAACAAGTTAAGAGAATTTTTTATGGTTTGCTTATTGAATACTAGTCTAGATAATGTAAACCAAAATCACATTTTTCTAATACTTCAGTTAAAACATCACCAACTATTCAAGCATTAAGTCAAAAAAATTATTTTGCAAATTTGTTGCATTTTTGAGTTCTTCTTCTAGTGATGGGAATGTAAAATCAAAATTGGATCACTATTTAGATAAGGCACTTGCATCATGGACTAGATCTTTTGATATTTGGAATTAGTAGAAGATAAATGAGTTAAAGTATCCCACATTGCAAATGATGGCTAAAGATTTTCTTGTTGTTTCTATTTCTTCTATTGCTTCTAACTAAACTTTTAATACTAGTGGAAGAGAGGTGAGTAAACATCAAAGTAGGCTTCATCCAAAACTTTGGAGGCATTAATGTGCACCCAAAATTAGTTAAGGAATGAAAAAGAATGTAAATAATATACTAGTTATTTTTTTCATTTGTTTTATAAAAATATTTATTATATTTCAAGTTACATTATTTTTCATTATTTTAATTTGTGTAAGACTTTCAGCTGGAGGTGAACTTTGTACAATTGATGCTGAGGAAGAAGAAGAATTCAAATGATATTTAAAATGTATTTATGTTGTTATATGTTACATTTGAATATGATGTTTGATGCTACACTCGTATTACTTTTATGTTGTATTGTTGTTGATTTTAATTATGAAATAGTTTTAATTTTTTTTAGGGAAGAGAGATTAGAATCCATACTTTTTTAAACAAAAAGATCATGCACTAATTAAGGAGCCAAATGCTTAGGTGCAATTGTGGAATAGTTTTTAATTGTTAGTTAATTGTATATGAATTAATGTAAAATATTTTTTATTTGAGTTTCAAGTTCGAGTTCTTAAATGGGTATTTATATACTTAAAATTTGCTTTGAATAATCGAATAATTAACGAATTCAAATAATTAACAGGTAGTGCTATACTAATAGGTTTTAGTTTTGGATAGTATTTTTTAATTTTATCTGAGTTTTATAGTATTCAGGTATCTTAGTATTTAAATAGTTTTGGGGTTGGATACCTTGAAAATAGCAAGTACCTTACCTATTTACATTTCTAGGGCTATCAACCTATAAATGCACTAAGAACTAAGAATCCTTTACATTTCTCTATAATTCTCTCCCTTCTTCCTTTATTAGACTCTCACTTATGTGGGTTTTGAGATTTACTTAAACTCAATTTTCAGAATTTAGGACCGTATAAGTTGGGCTAAAGTCTCAGTATGTGACATAATGCACGTAACAACAAATATTTGTAAAAATACCCCATAAGTTTCTATACTATAGGTTTTTTGTCAATTTCTTCCCTTTACCTTAAAATTGGTCAATTTAACCCCTTTACTTTGAGATTTTGTGCAATAATCCCTCTACTTAACTTCGTCTAAAGTGACTATTAGTAATGCTAACGTGGTAATGACATGTCAAACGATGTTGACATGACGTTGATGTGTCAAACCAAAATATTTTTTGAAACATTTGTCTTTGGTTTTAATAATTATTTAAAAATAAATAAAAAAACAAGTATTCATGTGCACATATGACAAAAAATACTAGTCTATAATCTATAATATGTATAAAAGTACAGATGTTGATATGTAAAATGGTTATATGAATTCTAATAGTATCGAATAATTTATATATTAATATTAAAATATTTAATTATTTATATTTCAAATTTTATATTTTAAAAACATGTTTATTTATATAATTATTAATTAAAATAAAAAATGAATACTACTAGTTAATTATTAAATACACACTTAACAGTTATTTATTAAAACTTGAATCCGTGTGTACAAAACAATAATACTAGCCAATGATTACTCTTAATATTACAAAATCTACTACAACAAAATCATGGCTGCAAACTTTCATTAATTATCAGCAACAATTCAGAAGCCTGCTCCTCCATATACAGTTGGCTTATTAACCAATCTTCACCCAGGGTACATACAAGTAAATCTTGTCTTGTAACAAGATCCCAATCTTTATGAGGCATGAATATATATAAAAAGAAAACAACAAAGCGCAATGACACCATTTTTGTCGCAGGTGTAACATGCAAGCTGCTAGCAGGTGTTTAACCAAGAATCTTCATGTAAATTGATACTATTCTTCCACTTGCAAAACATTTTGTCATCCTCTTTTCCCAACACTATCAGTGAAATGTCGTGACTAACCACTTTATGTTCACCTAACATTTTAGATATACTAAGAAGCAAATTGCTAGTGTCAAGTTACTTGTTTCTGACAGTTGATGGAGAAAACACCAGCACGGAAACCAACCACAGGGAAACTTGATCTTTTTGCAGTGTCTCCACGAACAAATGACCAATATTTACTTCAATCAAGCTAAACAGGGCATCCTGTTAATAACAGGCAGGATCAACAACTTCCCTCCCTTCCTTTTCTCCACCTTCCTACTGATTGCAAAGTTATCCTTGATAATAGACACACTGAAATATAGATCCATTTAAAGAAAAACCCTCAAATTCATAATTCAGTTCTGCATCTCACTTTCATCAGTCAAGCTGTACAAACAAATTCACAGCTTCAAGACTGGTTTGACAGCTAGAGCTACCACATTCTTAGGTTAGAGACAAATACACAGATCTTCAACTATTAACCTAGACCAGACTACAAAATTCACTCTCAATTGTTAACATGCAGTGCATTCACCAAAATCCTGTAATTCTTTTGGCCCATAGACAAATCCCTCTTCTTCCAATCCTCCAGCAATTCAAAAGCATCATTACTCCTTCCTCTCCTACAAAACTCTTCCAATACAGTCTTGTAGGTCAACAAATCAGGTGCCATTGAATTCGCCAACATATCAGAAACAACATCAACCGCATCATCAAGTCTTTGCTCCATCGCAAGACTACAAATCAAAATCATATAAGCACTCCCTTTCGGCACCAACCCCTTATCCCTCATTTCCTTAAACAACCCAAACCCCTGCGCCACCCTCCCTTTCTCACACATCCCTTTGAAAATATAACCATATGTATAGGCATTAGGCTCGCATCCATACAACCCCATTTCACGGAAAACCCGAATTGCCTCATCAATAGCTAAACACTTGGAATACGCCTTAATTATCATATTCAAGACGAAAGTATCCGGAATAATTCCTAAAGCTTTCATTTGTTTCGTCAAGGACCGGACCGCGTGTAAATATACATGACAAACATTTTGTCTATTAAATCTTCTAAGCAAAGAATTAAACAATAAAGTGTACGTCTCCAGCGTTGGTTTACAATCATCCGATTTCAGCATTTTCTTGTAAACATCGAAAGCGCGATTGAAAAGGAACTTACGACCGCAACAGAAGCGGATTATGGTGTTGTAAAGAGGAATGCTAATGGGGCAGGCGCCGGCGATGACTTCTTCGATTAGAGTTTCGGCGTGGCGGTAGCGTTTGGCGGAGATGAGGAGTTTTATTATGGTGAGGTAGGTCGCGTCGGTGTGCTTGTACCCGCGTTGCAAGGCAGTCCAGCGAAAGATGTCAAGGGCCAAATCGGCGTCCGGTTGGGCTCGCAATGCTGCGTCCACGTCAGCGGTAGTGAAGCCGGGTTTGAGCTTTTGGATCCATGTTTCGAATTGGGTCTCGAGAGGGGTTCGGGTTCGGGGACGAAGAAAGGGTGAGGCGGGGTGGGGTGGGATGGAAAAGGTGCGGTGATAGAGTGAGGGGCGCGTGAAATGGAAGGAGAAGACAGCCGGAAGTGGAAAGGAAAGGAGGTTTTTTGGGGTTTTCTGGAGAGTGGAGGCGAGCAAGCGCTGGAAGGCTAAAGGCATTTTTCAGTCGGGGTTTAGCAGGTGAAACGGAAGTACGAAGAAGGAAACCCTTAGGCAGTTTTGGTTGCGTGAATGTGAGCCCAAAAAGTAAAGAGCATTAGACCCACCCTTTTCTTTCTGATGGGCTAGGCCTCCTTAATGATTAAGCAGATTAGGCTTGGGTCAATACCGCAAAACCATAAGGTTAGATGCTTTTCATCTTCTCTCCGGGCTCCGGCGGCCTAGCAAAGGCCTACGGTTCAACAAGGGCAAAATTTGGACAGCGAGGTCCTTTAAAACAAGACTAAGGTGGCAATGGGGTTGAGGTTGATTCCATTCATATTTTAACCTTTTTAAATCAAGTTGGATCAAGTTTTTGAGTAAGGAAGATCCTTTTGAGTTTGTAGACCTACATGGTTGTTTTTTATTTTGTTAAAGATAACATTTAAGTCTTTATCATTGATTGTTACGTTGCATTGAGTTAAGCTCTGAACAAGTTAGATCCGACTGAATTAGTTTTTGGTGTAAGTTAGTTCTTGACTTCATATTTGGTGAGTGGTGAGCATCATGCCATTGAAGGAAAGGAAAAGCATACAAATGGAAAGTGGATGTGGATTGGTTGATGGAGTTTTGCATCAAATGCAGGGTAATGTAGGTTTAAATGGTCATGTCAAAGCACCAGTCAGGGTGGTTTCATGAGAACTGAGGAAGTGATACACTGGCTATGCAGATGCAGTAATTGTGTCTCATAATGGCATTTGCTGCATCTTTTATTAATTTTACTCTCTTTTTCATGTCTAGGCTCAGAGATTCGGTAATGTTTGGTCTTAGAGACCTTTTTAATCTTTTAAGAGCAAAGGCTAATCCTTCTTTCTAGGTGGAATTTATCCTTCTTTTCAAATAATAATTAACTTTTTAGGTGGGATTATTAGCAGTCAATTATATTCCTTCTATTAAAAACTATTGTGTTTAAACTTTAAGTATGGTCTGGAGCAAAGGTTTCCACCAAATATATTTCCTAATATGGCAGAAGGGCTTGAGACAACCTGTCGGACAAACATGCAAAGTCAAATAGCACTACTCTAAAGTATAGAATATATTCCTCAAGTAATTAGTTCTTTCAAACTGAGTAAACCAATTCTGGGTCTTTAGTTTGCTGAAAGAAAGAGAACTATAAGGCAGAGAAAGAATAAAAATAAAAAATGAAAATGACTACAAAATTTATAATTTATTTAGCTAGAATGATTTTTTTTTGTTAGATTTATTTGGATATTTTTAATATTTATACTTTAAAACAATTTTACTCATCAAGTTATTTTTTTTTCAATTTGTATGAAAATTTATTTCTATTCTTTGGAAAAAAGAAATAATATTCCCTTATTTTTGGTTGGAAGGAAGTGTCCCCTGTTCCCCTTACTTGATCCCTTGGTTCTAGAAAAGAAAAAGAAAGAAAAAAAATGCAATGCCGCCCCATTTTCCTTGCTCTACAATCTGGGCATGTTAGCCGGCCTTGGGATTTTGACCCACTAGATTTGGTGAGTTTCTAGTCAGATGGCTGTGAGTATCAAAGATTCTTAAGAGTAATGAGAAAAAGAGTGTATTATAGCCAAAATTAATGCAGTAGCATATATATATATATATATATATATAAATGGTACAACACTCAATTACGATTAAAAACAAAAGTTATATACATGAGTTTTTGTCATTATATTTGTTTTTTATCCACCATTTATATTGCGGAGGTGATATTGCTTTCACTACTACACGAGCATATGTGGGGAGCATAAATTAATGTTTTCAACCTATTTATATTATTTGCAGGAGCATCGTTCTCTTCTTTAATTCCAACCTTCATTCTCATATTAGTAACTGGAAATCGATGATGAAACTCCGAGATTCCTAATTCCATGCTTTATCCCATTAGTGAAGCACTTTAGAAACCCACCTCTTCTTTATTCTATTGCATGCCCTCACAGAATGCACAAAGTTTTAGCCTTTTTATAAACCTGGCCAAAGTCTCTTATCAACATTGGTAATTTGGATGTGGCTCTTGTTTGCAACTGACAAAATGCACCCTTTATTATGCTTCTTGTTTGCAACTCTTCTGCTGTTTTTTCCGTTTTCATAATTTTATCAGTCTCTCTGTTTGAGAACATGTATTTTGCGGCTGTGGGTTTTGGTAATATGCATCCGGCACGGGTTTCAATTTAATCAGATTGGTGGGGTGGCGAGCCTAAAAATAGAGTAGATGGAGAGGGATGAGATCTCCCATGTGTTTTTTACGGTATATTAGCCTTAATATATTGGCATCCTTATCACACAAGTTTGGTTCCCTATCATATGATACACACGTTTTATATTTTGTTATGCCCTAGATGCTATGCTAATCCAAATGTCATCTTGAAAACCTCGTTAATCTTTACTGTTAGAGTAACAATCACGACGAATCGTGCTAGTAGAAAGGGTACAAAGATGCACATCGAAGGCACATAGATCTGCCTAGCTCATGAACACACATTTCTGACTCAGAAGGGCACAGGCCACAGCAACATCAAAGGACAGCTGCTTACCTGTAGAGGAGCCAGCCACAAACCCCACTTAAACGGCTCTCTGCTCTTTCTCAGACAAGGTCTTTTTTCCGCTTTTTCACTCTCGCTTTTTCCTACGCTTCCTGGAAACTGGAAACTGAACAAGAGCTAATAATAGATCACAGTACAGGCCCACCTTTCCCCCATGTCTTATTTTTCAACTTTTTTATTACTTAAATATCACTGCACCGTCTTATTTATTCTTATTTGATTCTCGTCAACTTTATCATTTCCTTCTTTTATGTACTCTCTTTTATCTTTTACCTCCTACAAAGGTAAAGTAGAGTGTCTATTTAAAAAGCATTATTCCAATCCAACACACATCGAAAAGAAGACCCAACCTTTGACGACACTTTCGTCGGTCACTGATTTGGTTCAACTCCCTATATTATTTTTGTTAACCCACCTCACCTTCTTATCATTTCTTGCTCACTCAAAATCCAATCTTTCCATCCCTGACGGCTTGACCTTCTTTTTCTACTCTCTTAGTTGCTTCCCACCATTTTAGCAAGCGACTTGGAAATTGAATACCAGGCTCAGGAAGAAGCATCTGATCAGCGATGCTGAAAATGGGTCTTCTTCCTCTCTCTATCCTCTTTCTTTTCTTTTCCATTTCCAGTAAGCTCTCTCGGAAACCTCCCAAAAAAGTCTTTTTTTTTTCAGTTCTTCTTTCGGGTTTCAGTTAATATTCCTTTGATATTTTGTTTTCAGGAGGTGAGATCTCAAGTCAAGTGGGAATAAACTACGGTCAGCTAGGGGACAATCTTCCATCTCCAAAACAATCAGTTAAGCTAATACAATCCCTCGGAGCCAAACGCGTCAAAATCTACGATGCAAATCCGGACATCCTTAACGCTCTCAAAGACACAAGTCTCCAAGTCTCGATCATGGTCCCAAACCAACTCCTAACCAACATCTCCACCAATCAGACACTAGCCGATTCCTGGGTCCAATCCAATGTGGTCCCTTTTTACCCAAAAACCAAAATCCGATACCTACTCGTCGGCAACGAAGTCATCAGCAGTTCCCCTAAAGAAACCTGGTACAGCATCGTACCAGCCATGCGAAAAATAAAAAATTCCTTAAAAACCCACAGCCTCAACAAAATCAAAGTCGGTACCTCAATGGCAATGGATGTCCTGGAATCGTCATTTCCACCTTCGAACGGCACGTTCCGATCTGATATTGCTGGTCCGATCCTTAAACCGATGTTACAGTTTTTAAGCCGGACCAAATCTTTCTACTTCCTTGATGTTTACCCATATTTCCCTTGGTCGAGCGAGCCCAAAAATATTAACCTCGATTACGCGCTTTTCGAATCCCGAACCATAACATACACCGACCCGGTATCCAATTTTACCTATACTAATATGTTTGACCAGATGGTTGACTCGGTTGTTTTCGCAATGAAAAAACTCGGGTACCCGGATGTTCGGATCTGGATTGCAGAAACGGGTTGGCCCAATGCCGGCGATATCGATCAAATCGGAGCCAACATTTACAATGCCGCTACATACAACCGCAATGTTGTAAAGAAACTAACTGCCAAGCCAGCAATTGGGACTCCGGCCCGACCAGGATGGGTTCTCCCGTCTTTCATATTTGCCCTTTATAATGAGAACCAGAAGCCGGGTCCTGGAACTGAACGGCATTTCGGGTTGTTGTATCCTAATGGGTCCAATGTGTACGGGATCGATTTGAGTGGGGAGACGCCGGATTCGGATTTCGAGCCGTTGCCAAAGCCGGATAATAATGAGCCGTATAAGGGGAAGATTTGGTGTGTGGCGGCTAGAGGAGTTAATGCGAGCGAGTTGGGTTCGGCATTATCGTACGCGTGTTCGCAGGGGAATAAAACTTGTGACCCGATTCAAGCCGGAAAGAAATGCTTCAAACCGGATTCGTTGTTTTGGCACGCGAGTTACGCCTTTAGCTCTTACTGGTCGCAGTTAAAGCAGACTGGTGCGACCTGTTACTTTAACGGCTTGGCTACTCAGACGGCTAAGGATCCAAGTAAGTTTATTTTCTTAATTACTTTCTTCTCTTTTAAAGTTGGATGATAAGTATTAGGGTGATTGGAGTTTGCCAAATGTACTTGGTTTTCTTTTGTTGAAATCTTTTCTTTAAATAGTATTCTGTTTTTCCTTTTGCAGGTTTTGGACGCTGCAAGTTTCCAAGTGTGACTCTTTGAAGAAGCCTTACACAATCCAATGACTGGGATTTTAGGAGGTCCTCCTTAGACAGTGATTTGGGTCCCCCTTTTACTCGTTTGTATTGAAGAGGGAGCGAGAGATACTTGAAGATAAGATAATTATTTCTAGTAATTTTTTGTAGCCTAGCCCCTTCTCAATTTCCAGGAAATTTCCATGATTAGTAAAATGGGCACCCAAATCACTTTGCTGTAATCAGTCGTTCTCACTTGTTAATCTCAGGTACTTGATATTGTTTGCTGTGCCGTATTAGTCTATTCCGGAAAGCTTCATTTCAACAACGGCTAATTGTTTTACTTTTCATCGTATAAATAAAAGCAACGGGTATTCGGTTGGTGTTGGTCTTTATTATCTATTTATTTATACGAGATGATGCCATAGGTTCTGTTGCCAACGGCTAGAAAAAGAGGGCTTAATTTCCAGGATTGCTACATCTTTCAACCTTTTAGGCTTTGGCCTTTTGGCATCCACTTTTTCCTGCACAAGCTTGTATATGTCGGCTGTAGTGCTGGCTTGCTGGGGCCAGTTGTGCCTTTATTCCTTTCTGAAAGTGACTTCCCTCCTGATCCCAGTCATGAGTCATCCCACTCTGCTCTGGCCCATCCTTTGTCCTATTCCCTCTCTAAATGTTTTCCTTCTTCTTTCTTAATGATGGGAAACTAGAAATCAAATGATCCATTAAATTGGCCAAAGTTTGTCACGCCAGTCTGAAATTAATTTCCATAGCATCATCATCCATGATCCCATCAATTTGATTAACACAAAAGCGCTAAGCCCTTAAATTTTGTGCTTCTTTTTCAAGCCCCTCTATTGGCTCGGATGAGATCCAATGATGCAGCAACAAAATGGGTTAAGCTCAGAGAAACCATAGATAGAACACAATGCTTCATTAATCTTTTACTACTACTACTACTACTACTACAACTATTTATTTGTTTATTCTTTTTTTTTTAACTAAAGAAGAAGGAAAGCTCTCATAGAGACATCAATTGATCAACACACGATCACCGTTCGTCGATCTTTGATTGCATAATTACTTCCAACTCATTCATAACACGAGTTTAATTATGGATTTGCATGCAACGCGGGAGTCATCCGAACTCCCAAGATCCCACAACATCGTTTCATTACGGAAACCTTTTAGCAAAATGTGATAATTAGTACTAGTAGTGTCAATTTTCATCTGTCATTGGGTAAAGATCAAACCACAAAGTTATGAAATGTGGCCTAAAAGCAGCTTTAGCATTGACATGACATGTCCAACTGTGAGGAAGCTTGTTAATTCAGCTAAAACTTAATGCACAATATGGATGCTTTGCGGTCTGTAGTCAGTGGCTGGTGGTTGGGACAGATTCCTCTTCTTTTGAACACCTTTTCTGTGGACCTTTTGCTGCGTTGCCTTTTTGTTTCAGAGAGTGAGTGGAGATGCTGCTTAAATCAAATCACACCAAGCAAAGCCAGGGGAGCTGTTGTAGACGTAAAATTTGTTTACCAGCCCGTATTTCACCGAGCAAGAGCTGCAAAAAGAGATGGAATTTTAAACTCAAGGTAAAGATATAGCCTGCAGGGACACTGACGCTGCTGCTTCCACATTTGCGCATTGGTAACACAAACATGCGCGTGCTTTGGCTCTTGGCCTTTCTTCCATCATATTGCTGGTAGAAAGGTTCAGAACAAATGGTTGACACATCAATGATCACAACTTATTTCTTCTTTTCTCATTATTCATTGGTTACAGTAAATTTGACGAGAATCCATGATTGCAATATAGGGGCATGTGATGCATTGGAGAAAAAAATCAGCCCTTCTTTGACCAAAATGACATCAATGAAACTTCAAATTTTAAAATGTGTTGCTAAGCTTTCGTTTTCTCTTTTGGGGACGGCGAAAAGACTATTGTTAGCAGTGATTTTTGTTCTTTCTATAGCATATGATCATTAGCTTAATGTCCTTGACTTGCAGCAGAATTCGCTACTTCGTTTTTCGCGGAGAAAAAAAAAATTGATGTTTACCTCTTTAAAAATATATATAAAGTTTCATCGTACTATCGGTATAAATTAAAATATGTATATTTGATGTATTAACATTTTTAAATTTAAAAAAGAGGAAATTTTATTAATAAAATAAAATTAAAACTCTTGATAGGTTTAATAACAAATATACAATTTTGTTTCCATGTTTCTCTCTCTAATCATAACTGAAGTATCATGTAACTCGGCAGAATGGCATACGGAATTTCTCATGTTCAGTGCTTTATCCCATCTGTTTGTCTTGTTATCTCTTAATATAACTGAACATCAACATAAAATATGGATCTAAATCGACCTGTGAGATCTGCTATGACGTCCAAATTGAGTTTTAATTTCAAATTTCCTTTGTTGTTAAATGTAGCAAAACGAACACTTGCAAATCTATTAACAAAATCCTAAATCATATCTGTACTTTGTAATAAACAAAATGTTTTTTTGAAAAGCAATTATCTGTATTCATATTAGGAGAACCGAAATGCGGCTGCAAGTCTTAAACTCAAAAGATAGCAAAAGACTTGTTACGGCAAGAACAACTCTCAAAGATGAAGAACAAGCTTGAGTAGGATCACAAACCGGTGACCTGCAGAACCCAAAACAAAATCAGATAGAAATAAAAAGCAACAGCTCAAGGGATCTTTGACATTTCACTTGCACCCCCTCAATAGATCTGTACAATGAATTTAGCAGACAACATATTTACATTTCCAAAAGGTGATGGACAAGTATCACTTGAAAACACTGTTAAACACCAAAACCAAAACAGAGATAACTGTTAGTTTTTTTGTCTACGATAAATGCAAAATTTTTATTTATAATTCAATAACAACAATTGTTATCTAATAGAAAAGTTAGGGATCCATAAGAAAATTATAAATCAAGATATATGTACCTCAAAAACGATTCAAGTGTCTCGCCTCTAAAGGGATTCATGCTTCTTTCTTTTTAAAAGGATATTTTGTTTCTCTGAAAACTATTGCTAACTAATTCTAATGGCTAACTAAGTAGCACCCCTTGCTTTTATACATATATTAATAGATTTGGATCCAATATACCCTATCGTACGCCAACAAGATTGTTAGTGTAGTTAGCTTAATATGAACAAGACCAAAGGGGGGTGAATTAGCCATTTTGAAAAATCTTTATGAACTTAGTAAAAGTTAAATTTCTTTGAAACAAGTTTCACCACTTGAGTTGAAGACAAGGGATTTGGCTTTCTTGAAATAAGTTTGCAGCAATAAAATTGATTTTCTTGAAGTAAATTGCAGCAATAAAATCTAAAGAAAAAAAAGGCACAAAGATATAAGAATTTTTATAGAGGTTTGCCCTTCTTGTCTACGTCCTCTCCCTTAACTCATTAAGGAGTTTCAAATTCACCGTGAAAAATACTTTTTAACAAGTTTAAGTGTAACCTTTATATCACCTTTCACGGACTCAAGCATAACACACACAATGCCTTTTTACAAGAGTAAGCACAATCCTCACAATGCCCTTTATGGGAGCAAGCATAACTCACAATAACTTTTCAAAGCTAAGTTAGAATTTTTACAAAGTGTTTACAAAGAGAGTGTAGCAAAAAATGCCTCTTAAAGGCTGATAAGCTAAATATTTAAGCTTGAAGAGAATGGGTACAATGAATATTAGAAAAAAGTAGCTCAATAATTGCTTTGGATGCTTTGAAGGAAGACTTAAATGAGGTGTAAGAGGGGAGTACTTGAAGTTGAATCTTTTCTCAAGTGTTGGAATGATTTTCAGAGTCTTCTCTTGCTTTACAAAGAATGGAAAGTCCTTTTTATACCATCTTAAGAAATTAGAATCGTTAGAGACAAGTTAGAGAAAAAGTAGCCATTAGGATTATTAAATGCATGCCTACTATATCTTTAGGATCGAGTAAGGAGAAGGGAAACCAATCCTGATTTTGAATTTCTTCAAAATTATGCTTGAATGATTAAGCTTTTAAAGTGAAAGTCTATCTTCATCTCGAGGCTTGCCCCATTTTTTCTTTTCTTCCTCTAAGATCAAGAATGGTAATGTGAAGGTTGATCCTCTAAGCTTCTAGGGGCTTCTTAGCTTATTTTTTTCCTTCTAGGATCGAGTATGGCTTGTTTAGAGTCGATCTTTTGAGCTTTCTTCACTTTTTCTTAGCTTTCTACCTTAGGATCAAGTATCATGGTTAAAATCGATCCTAAACCAAGGCTTTTCTTTATTCTTTCTTAATTTGTGCATGCAGGATTGAGTATGAAAGAGTTGGAGCCGATCTTAGACTAGTGACATGTTTGCTCTTTGTTTCCTTTAGTTGAGAACTCAATGTTTGAAGGATTTTTTATTTCTTCTAAACATAAAGGACTTGTTAAACATTTTTTAAGACCTTAGGGGATTAAAACTATGAATCAAATCATTTCAAATGCTTGTGATCAAACTTCAATCAATGTAATATTTTCAATAAGTCATTTTAAAGGCTAATAATTTCCCTTTTTTCGATATGACAAAATCTTAAGCATAATTTGCATTTAAAAACTCCCCTTAATTATATTAGTCAACCAACCCTTGTTTGAAATCATTTAAGCTGAAATGAAAAAGGTTTTGAAATGATTTTAAAATGGAATTTCTCCCTTTCAACCTATGTATTAATTTTCAAAAAGTTTCAGAGAAAGTTTAAATTGTAACTTGAGTACTAAAGCATTGCAAATGTGCTTATAAACCTTCTTCCCCTTTTTGTTATATAAAAAAGGTATCGAAGTGCGGGCGTTAATAATTTTAAAGCTCAAATGACAAAGGTTAGTGAAAATCATCAAATATATAAGCACTAAGAGCAATATGATTATCCATTGATGCAAGTGAAAAGAAACGAGGGTGTTAGCTTTAAAATGATTATAGTTTTGATTATGATAAAATGATCATAATTTGCCTAAATATTATTTGAGTGGTTGAAATAATTTAACTCTGATACATTCGTTCTTACATAATTACAAGCTTGATTGTTCTTGTTGTGTGACTTCTTAAAGTTATTAAACTCTCAAACACTCACTTCACCAATGTCTACAAGCTTAAATGACTTAATTGTATGAGTGTTAAACTTGCTTGAATGAGCTCTTTTTATGATCTTTCAACATTCATCTTTAAGATGTTAAAGTTGCAAGATAAGTTCACAAGTGGTGGAGTTTATTTAAAAGCATTTAAAGATCATCAATGTACACAACACTAAGCTTGTTTCAAGTCAAAAAACTTAGTCACCACTCAATATTTGATCACAAGGAAGATATAGTCGAAGTTACATGCCAAATGGAGAACGAACCTTAAAGAAATAAAGCTCTAATTGAC